CAGACAGCGACAGACTAGTCCCAATGACCAAGTTATACATTAGCACTCGAAGGGAAGTACAACGCTATGGTCACTCACCTAGTCCCAATGACCAAGAGGTCGAGATGGGGACTAGGGAGCGCCTAAGGGGGTCCTTATATACTAGAGGGGCTGCTTAGCAACCAAGGACAAGGCGCGAGAGCGAGGCAGTGAAGATGACAAAGAGAGAACAAAGGGCGAGAAAGAAAAGGCAAGGGCATGGCGATCACGGGAACGTAGCATGCGGCTGTGGGAACGTATCTACAGTGTCCAAATTGGGATGGGCTAGAAAAGGAAATGGTCCGCGAATGGAAGGTGGGCGTCAAAGGGAGGGGAATGGGCGGCAAAAAGGGGCGTCTGTCCAACGTCCGTGACAGTAACTTCATTTGGAAAAGTTGGTTCCTTGATTGATCACCAGAGTGTGACTTCAGGGGGAGTGTTGGAATCTGTAGAATTCACACTCTAGTATCGGTTGGATGGTGTAGTGGTAACACCTCCCAGCGCATATGGGATGACCCGGGTTCAATCCCCGGTCTGACCAACCCTTCATTGTTCAACAATAAGGGCGCGGGTATCCGTCGGGGGGCGGGACCTGTGGCGCTCGTTCCGCGAGCTCGCCATCTTGACGCCAGGATTCCAACACATCCCCTCGAGCGAGCGCGGGCAACGAGCGAAGGGTAACAAACAAATCAAGCGGGACGGGGATAATGGAAACAGCGAGCAAGGAAGGAGGGGTCGTGTCCGCACAAATAAGGGATAACGTACGATAAGTCTAATGCATCCCCTTAATCGGGCATTTACCAAACTTCTATCTCCTTCTCGGCAAGAAGCTGATCGGCGCTAACGGTTGCCGAAAACGCGTAATGGGCCTCTTCAGTCTTAAGCTCGGGGCAGTCGCGCTGATAGTGACCCTTCTTGGAGCACTTGAAGCAGGTGATGCGCTCGAGCGGGGTGCGGGGCTTCGTGTAAGCAGCGAGGGCAGCTTCAGAGTCATGATGAGGCGGGTTGAGGGACAATTGGCGCGACTCTTCATTAAGTAAGCGGGTGATAACGTAATCGATGGTAAGCTCGCTAGGCGGGGTGGAGTCGAGATTGACGACCAGCTGAGAGTACGAATCGGGGAGGCCATTCGTGAGAACGAGGATGCGGTCTTCATCGGAGATAGAGGCGTCAATCTCCTCGAGGCGGAAGGCGGCCCGGCGGACGTCAGCAATCCACGATGTCATCGTTTGTTCAGGGCGCTTCGTTAGGCACCAGAAAGCGCGCCGGTGCGCGACCCGGGTACCAAAGCCGCGGGCACGGTGGACGCGACAAAGCTCGGTCCAGACTTCGTGAACGTCTTGTGATTGGATGTGGGCGTACTGGGTGGGCTCGATATTCAGGATAATCTCGGCGCGCGCTTCTGCGATCTTCGCATGCCAGGCACGCACAGCCTTCGTGTTATCAGAGCCAGAGGGGCGGGTTTCATCAGCAGGGGCGCTCGTAACCTCCCAGAGACCCTTGCGAACAAGGAGGGCCTCCATGCCGATAACCCATTCGGCGTAGTTGTCGTCGGCGAGCTTCGCAATTGTGGGCGGTGCCATCGGGGCGGGAGCAGCGGGGAGCGCGGGGCGGTCGCGGTTACGGGGTCGTCGGGGTGCACGGGGTCGTCGTCGGGTCGGTCGTCGTCACGGGTCGTCGGTTCGCGGGATCGTCGAGTGGCTTCGGCCCCACTAGGCAGTGCCTCGAATTATCCTTCGGGCAGAGGAGACGCGTTTGTGAAGAAGTTCGAGGGCAAGCGGGCACAAATGAGATTCGCGTTTGGCCGGTGCAAACGCGTGCCGTACATAGTACATACAATAGACCTTATATACACAGTAGAATAGGGGTAGATAAGGGCGCGGGTATCCGTCGGGGGGCGGGACCTGTGGCGCTCGTTCCGCGAGCTCGCCATCTTGACGCCAGGATTCCAACAAGTTAAAGGTCAACGCGTGATCTAGGCGACCGAGCGCTTGTGTGGTCCGCAGCTTGAGCCCGAAGCGGACGATGTGCTCGAACATCGCAACGGGCACAGGCCTAGGGGAGCACCAGGTTTCTTCCGTGACGCACAACACGCCTGGTGGTGGAGACGACTTGCACTCGCAGATCGGGTGGGCGATATCGCTTGTGATACCACTTGGCACATTGCTCTTCCTCGCGAGCCAGACGTCTTTGTTTTTAGGATGAGGTCATGTTGTCATAGTGGGTGTTCAGTGTCTTGTATGTTCAACCACAAAGTCTACATACTCCCATCAGGAAAACGTCACGGACTTGGACCCATACTTGGGCCCAAGTTCATGTACTTGGACTCAAGTCTATGTACTTGGCCTCAAGTCCGTGTACTTGGCCCCAAGTCCGTGTACTTGGCCCTAAGTCCATGTACTTGGTCCCAAGTTCATGTACTTGGTCCCAAGTACACGGACTTGACCCAAGTCTATATACTTGGGGTACTTGGGGTACTTGTGCCACAACTTGAACTTTACATGTTGACTTCAGTATACTCAGGCCTCAATTTGAGCAATTGGTGTTCTATCAGTCACACATCTTGTATACTTCTTATGTAATAATATCTATCATAGACATCCATACACTAGTTGTAAACCAGTCTGTTTTAAGGCTGTAGAAGCAGCTTTATAGTCTATTAGAAGAAGGGCAATAACATGTGATAGAAGACTCTAAGTTGTTACAATGTGCTTGTTTCAGTAGTGATACAGAGGTACAATATCCAGATAATGCTCAAGAATAGTGGTATCAGTGGTGGATGTCCAAGTTCTGCTATGGTACAGGTGAGGATGGTGAAGAATTTCTCGGAGTCCA